TGTCTAATCAGATAACTGCGTTTAAGTACAATGAACTCTCCAGAGCTGTGCATCCCCCATCAACCCCCACCAAAAAAAGAAGTTGCTCATTTGATTCAGTAGGTTTAAATTCTTTGGGGGAATACATGCATCTTTGGCAGTTTTTTTCTGTTTGTTGTGCTTTAGACCTATTGATGAAAGAGTTGTTATAGAATTACATGTTTATAGAGAAACAGCAATAGAAATTAATTTTACTGATGTTACTGCAGTTATTTTTGTGATGCTTAACTTCTGTGGGAATAATGAGATGGGTAGCTTGAAAGGGCCTGTTAAAATTCTCTTAGTAAGAGTAAGAGTTTTCTTAGTAAGAACAGGGCTCTGAAAGATGACTTCAGCCATTCAGCAGATGTCTTGAGAAACCTGTGCTGCCACTTGTTTTGGTGCTAGGTCTTGGTTTTGTTTGTATGCCGGGACATTTTGTGTGCGGACAGATATACTGTATAGCTCGATCTATAAACGGCTTCTGTATTTTGCCGATTTGAGGATACACTGCTGGTGCATCTTCGGTCTGTGAAATCTGTAAGGAAAAGGGCACTGCACAGTGAACTGTTCATGGGTCCTTAATATATGGTGAGCACATTTGTCTGCAGGGGCTTTGCCTTTCATTTTTTATTTTTCTGATATAGGTACCAAATGACCTGGATATATCAGATGGATCAGTTCAAGAGCCTCAGTCTTTATAGGAGAAGTTGTTTAATTGCTTTTGTTGTTCAGTAAAGATTTTAACATTGAGGTATTTCGTTGGGTTTGGATCTGTTTGAACTGAAGCTAATCAAGAGAATCCAGTAGTTCTGATTTTTCTGTCTGGTTGGTGCACACTGAGTACCTTGAGACCTGTGTCCTGCAAGAGTCACAGAACAGTTGAGGTTGGAAGGGACCTCTGGAAGTAATCTTGTCCAACCCCATGCTCAGGCAGGGTTACCTAGGGCTGGTTGCCCAGGACCATGTCCAGATGGCTCTTGAATATTTCCAAGGATGGAGTTTTGGAGGAAGCAGCTTTGGAATTGTTTCCAGCTAAGCTGCTATAGAGAGCATCAGCAGCTGCCCTTTCATGTTTCAGTTGCACAGCTCCCAGGGGACAGGTAAATGTGTTTTAGCTCTGACTGCACCATGCATAGCTGTTGGCTCCTGTGATGACTGAAAACTTGCATAAAAAGGTCATCCATGAGGAACAAGTAAATCCAAATAAGCAACAGTATTTTTACCTTGAAGGGTAAGATTTCTGTGATAAGGTTTAGAATAGGCATGCCAGTACTTCTGTGTGTTTGTGTAGTAGTATTGCCGTTTCTTTTGGGGAAGGTTTAAGACTTACTCATCTAGGCTGGAGGTTGCTTTCAAGGCCTGACTTAAAAGTATTCCAGTAGTAAAAGAGCTGACTAGTTTCCACTGCCTGGAAGAAGCAAACCTTGCTGCCAGAT